AGTGGCAGTGTTTCTTACAGTGTGGCTCGCGTTCACCAGGGAGTGCGTGCAAGGGCTCAGGGGCTCGAATAATTCTTTGGTTTGCCAGTTTGAATTGAGAGGAATTACAATGCATTGCGTATAGTCTGTTGGAATGCGTAGGGTTAAGTTGGCAGGGGAAAAGAGGATTGATATAATTCACAGTTTTGGTACATTTTTAATAAAGGTATGACACTGATGCGTATTTATTCCATACTCCATTCCATAAGGTATTGTATTTATGCTGTAAAAGAAGCTTGCGTGAGAAGCTGCTTCGTATGGGATCCGTTGCATGAAAAGTCTTAAAAAAAAAGATAGCTTTTAGGCCCTAAGCACACAGCGCCTATACACCGAGACCTGCCAAGCCTCAACGAGAAGCGAGTGGCAGAAGTATGCGCCAAGGAACCCGAGGGCCGGAGGCATGTGCGAGGCAGGAGGCTCCCGGCACTGGTGCCCCGCAAACTGCGCATCAGGCACAGCGCTTGTCATGGCCGCACTGGAGAGACAATTTGCATTCTCTGTCATCATCCCTCCGGCCTCCCCCGCGCGCGCCCAGCCCTCACCCCCAGCCCTCACTCCCCACCATTTTCTAAACTCCCCAGGAGGCGTCCTTCTCCCTCTCTCCCCCAGGGCATCCTCAGAACGCCGTCACCGTCGGCCCCTTCGGCGATGCTCACCGTTCAAGGTCACACACGCTCGCGCCGTAACCTTTGACCCAGTGCGAGCCGCCGCCGTCTGCCTAGTGGCGTCTCGCAGGATGGGGCTTTCGGGCCGCCCCTTCAGCCGCTGAGGGAGAACGTGGCTAAATTTGATGATGATTTTCGATGATTGTAAGCCCACAGAAAGGAAGATGGTGATTGTGGATGATCTTAAGCCTACTGCAGACAGGAAGTCATTACTTTAGACGGTTCTAAGCCTACAAAAAGAAGATAATGATTTTGAATGTAAGCCTCAGCAGTTAAAATGGTCATCAGGAATGGATTCAAACGTTCACGATGAAATAATGAGTTTGAATGACCATAGATTATTAATTTACTAAACGAAAGATTTGTGATCACTACTACGCAGAACAGTATATGCTATATGTTACTCCTATTACATTATTATCGTTAGCATTAATACAACTATTACTACTACTGAACTACTAGTATTACTACTAGCACATATAACACCATAAAAACAACTACTACTACTACCACAACCAGGCCTACAACTACTATTGCTACTACTACTGCTACCACCACCACCACCACTACCATGGTGACAATACAAAAGATTTTTATCATTTTTTCATTATCATTATTATTGTTATTATCATTACCATCACCATCAACACCATCATCATCACCATCATCATCATCATTATCATCATTATAATCGTTACTATCGTTATGATCATTATCGTTACTATCGTTATCATCATTATCATCATCATTATCACTTCCGTCATCGTCAGCAATATTGCTGTAACTGCTGCTGTGATGGTGACAGCAACAACAAAATCAACAATAATATTGTAAATAGTGATAATAATGATATGGGTAATATTGGTGATGGTAGTGATGATGATAACGAAAACGACAATTTTATGTTGATAATACTTATAATAATGATAATAGTAAACCTAATGATATTGATAATAATAATGATAACAACAGTAACAACAAGAATAACAATAGTGATAGTAATGATGATAATTCTTCAACATTTTATTATTGTTAACATTATTATTATCTTTATAATGATTGTGCAATTTGTTATAATTGTTATCATTATTAACATTATCATTTGCATTATCTTCATTATTATTATTATCCGCATTATTGCTATAATCATCATAATCATCATTATTATTGTCATTTCAATTATTGTCATTATTATTATTCTTATCATTGTCATCAGCAGTATCATTATAATCATCATTATTATTATTACTATCACCATCATTACTATTATACCATTATCATTATAAATTCATTATTTAATTCTATTATATTTTAATTATTAATCTTATCATTATTATTATCACCGTTTTCATCATCATTGTGATCATTATGATTATTATTTCTGTCATTATTATTATTGTTGTAGTTATTATTTTTGTTATCATTATAATTATCAGCGTTATTATAGTCAATGTTATCATTATCATTAGCATTAGCATCATAATCCTTTTTATTATAGTAATGGTGATGGTTAATAACAACAATAATATTAATAATAACAATATCAATAATGATGGTGATAATAATAATAATAGTAGCATTGTTAATAATACCAATGATACTAATAATATTAATAATGCTGATAAAGATTATTTTATTATCATTAACATCATCACTATCATCATCATTACTATCATCATTATCATCATCATTTTTATAGTTTTATCATTGTTATTATTATTACTATTATTATTATTATTATTATTATTATTATTATTATTATTATCATTATCATTATTATTATTATTATTATTATTATTATTATTGTTATTATTACTATTATGATAATAATAATAATGATTACTGTTATTATTATCATTATTATTATTATTATTACTATTATTATTATTGTTATTATTATTATTATTAATATTATTATTATTGCTATTATTATAATAATAATTATTATTATTGTTATTGTAATAATAATAATGACAATGATAATAATAATGATAATACTAATAATGAAGAATAATATTTTTTATTATTATTATCATTACAATTATTATCATTATTATTATTGTTATTATAAAAACAGTGATAACAACAACAGTGATGATAATAACAATAACAGTGATAACGATATTAATGACAATAATAATAACAATGATTTTAAAAGTAAAAACAGCAATAATAATAATGATAATAATAATAATAATAATAATAATAATAATAATAATAATAATAATAATAATAATAATAATAATAATAATAATAATAATAACAATAACAATAATAATAATAATGACGATAATACAAATACTAATACTAATAATAATAATGATAATAACAATAATAACAATAATAATAATAATAATAATAATAATAATGATAATAATAATAATACATAATAATAATAATAATAATAATAACAATAATAATAATGATAATAATAATAATAATAATAATAATAATAACAATAATAATAATAATAATAATAATAATAATGATAACAATAACAATAACAATAACAATAACAATAATAATAATAATGACGATAATACAAATACTAATGATAATAATAATAATAATAATAATAATAATAACAATAATAATAATACATAATAATAATAATAATAATGATAACAATAGTAATAATGATAATAATAATAATGATAATAATAATAATAATAACAATAATAATAATAATAATAATATTGATAATAACAATAACAATAACAATAACAATAATAATAATAATGACGATAATACAAATACTACTAATAATAACATAATGAACAATAACAACTTTGATAATAATATTCATTATTCAATAACGAAGATAATGACAAATGGTGTCGATTTCGCTAATAATAATGTGATAATAACAACAATGAAATAATCACCACCATAATACGAAGTAATGATAACAACAATAACAGCAGTAATAACAAGTAGGGTAACACGTTCTCTTTTTAATCTTTACCCTAATAAGAGGCAATTTTCCTACTGCCGCCGCCGATTACAGAAAGAGATACGAGCGAGAGAGCGCAAGTTCTCGCGGCAAGAACGGCTCGGCGGCCACAGGTTCTTCTTTCGTAAACATCATCCCGTGGCTCTGTCGCATAATGACAGCCCTGGATATTGATAACAATCCTCCGTAATTGTCCCGCAGGAATGTGCGGCATGCGCGTTCATTATGCCGCAAGCGTCCCGGCGGCGGCGCGGCGGCGGCGGCGTCCGGGCCGTGTCACGCCGCACTATTTTGACGGGGCTGATGTCACGTGACTCAGCCTGCGTCAGAAACGCGATCCGCTGTTTCTCGTCTGGTTACCTGCGCGCGTCGTCTTGGCGGCTGCAGCGGCGGGGAATCAAGCTCTTTGGGGATGGGTTATGGCCGGAATAACGCCAGGGGTTGCGATGCCGCTTGGAATCCGTCGGAGAGCTGCGGGAAGGCTGTTTTAAGTGTTGTAATACGCTCCCGACAGAGGTATATTGTTACGTGAGCGCCCGAGCGAAGGTTGAGAGCGTTCGTACGGAGTGCGTCTGGCAAGCCCGACGGTGATTCCACCAATATACTGCGTCCGTTTTCTTTCTCCTAGTTTATTTCTTTGCTTTTGGCGATTCTTTCTCATCTTAGATGCATATGAGCAACACTATTTGATGATTCAGTAATATTTGATAAGGCTGTGATAGTGTATGAGTAACCACACCACCATAAGCAGACGGTATGCACAGCAGTCTTGGAGGTGCCACATGTTAAACCGTGTCATGATTATCCTTTACAAAATCCCTTATAATTTGCAATATGACAAGCCATTTCCTATAAAATGTGTATTTGTGGCTCTACTATTCAACTGAACCGAGTGCAAATAGCGCAATTACGGAAGGTGTTGCGGTGTCGCGTCGAGCGGAGACGTGGCAACGGCGCGGCGACGGTGGCGGGAAGAAGAGCAGACGAGACGAGGCTCGGAGCGGCCACGGCGTTCAGTAAGTGACCAGCCACCGAGGTAAGAGGATGTTGTTCGTGCGTCGCGGCTTCACACCGCAGTGAGTGCAGTGATGATCATGTGCTAGTGCGTGCATACCCAGTTGTGCAAGGAAATCGCCATCATGGCAACGCAGGACTACACCCCGCATCTCAAGCGAGTGCTGCGCTCGTACCAGAGCACGGCCATGACTAGTCTCCACGGGCCTGGCACCATCTACCTGAACGTCGCGGGCGGCAGGGGCGTGAGCGAGAAGGTGGCCGACTTCGGCGAGGAAAATATTAAGTCTTTTAAGCAGTGCATTAAGCTGTACGAGGACTCCCTCAAGAACAGGGTCGAGGACAGCCCCCGGCGGTGCGCTGCCGACGACGCCGAGTGCAGGCGAGTCCCAGCGCCGTCCAGCCCGCCCACGCGCCGCACGCCCACGCCCTCCGCACGAGAGCCGCCGCAGCCCGACCTGCCGGAGGGGAAGGACCCCGACGGCGCCCTTCCTTCGGCGGCGCCCCTGCGCTCCCCCTCTCCCCCCGCCCCCACCCCCGCCACCCCACCGCCCCCCGCCCCCGCCGACGCCCTCGCCGCCCCTTCCGCGCCCACCGCCGGCGCCGCCAGCATCAAGGCGCCCGCCGCCGGCAGCGCCTCCGACAGCGCGGGCTTCGGCGGCTCGTGGGTAGAGCCGGGCGTGTTCCTGGCGCCCGCGCCCTTCCCGCCGCAGCCGTGGCCGGTGCTGGCGGCGGCCGACAAGGGCTCGCCGGGCTCGGGCAGGGGCTGCGAGGAGACCCTGCTGGACGGCGAGCCCATCGCCTGCTTCAACGTGGGCGGCGAGCGGCGCCTGTGCCTGCCGCAGATCCTGAACACGGTGCTGCGGGAGTTCTCGCTGTGGCAGATCAACAACGTGTGCGACGAACTCCGCATCTTCTGCTCGCGCTCCACGCCCTCGCAGCTGGACGCCCTCCGCGTGGCGGGCGTGCTGCCGCACACGGCCACGTCCTGCGGCCTCATCACTCACACCGATGCCCAGAGGCTGACGCAGGCCCTGCTCTACGCCCACCCCTCCCGCTCGCCCGCGCCCGCGCCCGCACAGTCGCAGCAGGCGAGTCCGCAGCTTCGGGTCTACCACACCTGCTTCGGGAAGTGCAAGGGCCTGGTGTGGGACGAGCTGTACAACTCCGCCAGCGCCGCCTGCATCGAGTGCGAGGAGTGCCATGGCCTGTTCCCGCCCGCGCGATTCGTCTGCCACGCCCACAGGTCCCTCGAGAACCAGACCATCCACTGGGGCTTCGACGCCGAGAACTGGCGCACCTACCTGCTTCTGGCCAAGGACCAGCGGCAGCCCCTCGAGAAGGCCGAGCTGCTCCTCAAGGCCTTCAAGAGCAAGTTCGACCCAGCGGGAGCCAACCACAAGCGCAAACAGGTAAGCCAGATTGACGCGGCGTTCCCTGGGCGACGGAGGCGCGGCCGGAGGGCTCCTGGGGCGGCTGCTCCTCGGGCGCCCGCGGCCTCGCCTCCGCTGCCGTCCGAGGGTGTTTGCTGGCGCGCCGTGGATGCCAGTCGTGTTTACCTTTTGTTGTTTACGCCTCCTCCTCTTCCTCCTCCTCTTCCTCCTCCTCCTCCTCCTCCTCCTCCTCCTCCTCCTCCTCCTCCTCCTCCTCCTCCTCCTCCTCCTCCTTCTCCTCCTCTTCCTCCTCCCTTTCTCGCCATGTGGAACTCCGCCGGCTGCCTCGGCGTGGAGGCTTTAGAAGGTCGCAATCACTCTAGACGAGGCGGGCAAAAACGCGTCTCCGCCGCGGCATGCTCGGCTGCACCGCGATTTTACCGAGGGAGAAATGTCAGGAGAGGAGGCAGCAGGCGGCGCCCTCCGCTGGCCAGGGACTAGCGCCTCCGCCGTCGCCTCCGTCTGCTGGTGGCGAAGGGAGGGAGGTCTATGGGCCGCAGAGTGGGCCACTGACTGAACAACGATTTAAATTCGATGTAAACAAATATTCAGGGAATTGGGGTGAGGGAGGGATGGCTGCCCCTCCCTCCTCCCCACCGACGCCCGTGTGTGTGAAACCGCAGCATTTAAAAAGACCGATTTCCGGGCCAGCCGGCCGCTGACGTCAGAGATTTCAGAGGCGTATCTACGGCGAGAGGCGCTCGCGAGACATCGGAAGTCAGCGTACACCTGGTCATGTTCCCTCCATCTCTCCTTCCCTCCCGGCTTCCCTCCTTCTCTCCCTCCTTCCAGACTTCCCTTCGTTTCTCCCTCTTTCCTGATTTCCTTCTTAATCTCCTCCTCCCTACTTCCCTCCTCCTCTCCTCTCCCTCTAGATTTCTCTTCTCTCCTTCCATCTTTTTTCATCCTTTACCTACCCCTCCTTCTCTTATTCACTCTTAATTTCCCCTCCTCTCCCTCCCCCTCTTCCATTCTCCCCCTCTCCCCCTCTCACACTCCAGGGCTCGTGTTATTGGCCCAGTTCTTCCCCTGATCTGTGCCACTGCCATTATCTACACAATTATTTTCTCCTATTCGGTTCTGTCCTTTGTATTCATTTTCCCTCCTCTTCCCTCTTTCTTTGGCCTGTGTCTCTCTCCCCGCTTCGCATCCTTAGGCGCGGCGCAGACATCCTTGAGCACTCCAGACGACCCTGTTCTCTGCTTGCTTGGGTGCCTGCGCTTACCTGCGAAGTGCTTGCGTCATGCTGGCCGACCACTCTCTCTCTCTCTCTCTCTCTCTCTCTCTCTCTCTCTCTCTCTCTCTCTCTCTCTCTCTCTCTCTCTCTCTCTCTCTCTCTCTCTCTCTCCCTTCTTCCTTCTTCCTTCTTCCTTTCTCCCTCCCCCTCTCCCTCCCCCTCTCCTTCCTCTTTTCCCTCTCCTCCCACTCTTTCTCCCCCTCTTCCCTCTCCCTCTGCCCATCTCTCTTTCTCTCTTCCTCTATCACTCCCTCTCTCTTCGTTGCTTGCCACTCTCCTCCCACATTCTCTTTTCGGACTCAACCTCCCACTCTCTCACTCTCTCCGGCGCCTGTGTTCCCAAGTCCCTGACCGGTTGCATGGCTCTGCCCTTTTCTCTATTGCCCCCTCCCCTGGCCTATCCCTCTCCCTCCCTTCCTCACTCACTCTCTGTCTATCTATCTATCTATCTATATGTATATAATGTTTTTGAATATATGCCTTTATTATTTATTTATTTATTTATTTATCTATTTATTTATTTATCTATCCTTTTTTCCCTCTGGCTAATAGTTCTCAGGGATATTTTCGTGATCATAGCTTTATTTGTGCACATGTCACATGTTATCCCCTCACAAGGACCTCCTTCCCCGAGCAAAGACCAAAAAGACTTAAGCTCGCCGGGCACCAGCTCCTCACGCAGGCGCCGACGACGCTGTAGGGACGTCGTCGGTAGTGGCAGCGGTGTCACAGAGAACAAAGCTGGTGGCAGCGGTGTCAGTATCGGTGTCACAAGGTACGGCGGTGTCATTCTGCGGTTTCGTCTGGAGGATGTAGAAGGCTGCGTGTATTTCGAAGTGTTCTCGTTGCCTTATGTACGGATGTTTTGTCAATATTGATTTGTGTGTCATGGTGGTTATTTTTTCATGTCTTTAGTCTTTTAGATGCATGTCTGCTTCGCCTTGAGCCTCCCCGTTAATTAACGAACACGAACAATTATTCATCAAAGGGAGAACAGACTCTGTATCTCCCTCCCTCCATCCCTCCCTCCCTCCCTCCCTCCTCCCTCTCCTCTCCTCCTCCCTTCTTCCCTCCCTCCCCATCCCTCTCCCCATCCCTTCACCCCCACCCCTCCTCCTTCACTCACTCCATTCCTTTCCTCCCTCTCTCTCTCCTCTCCCCGCCCTCCCCTCCCCACCCTCCAGTATCCGCCCACTCCTGTTCTCGACAAGGAAGGGCGACTGGGCTGGCGTGTCCTCCGCTGACGCAATGTTTACTTCGCCGTGCCTGCGTGCTTGTGACGGCCAACACTTATCGGCGCTTCGTGTTGCAACTAAATCACTGAGACAGAATACGAGCCGTTGCATTCTTATCATGCAGAGCGAGCATGGGCGTGTCCGCGCTGGGGCGAGTGCACAGTGCAGTACTTCTGAGGTTAGAAGGAGCGGCTGGCATGATGTGAGAGCAGGCTGGGCATCCGGGCTGCGGGCGCGGGCGGAGGGAGGAGTGAGGTATGAGGAATGAGGAAACTGGTGGCCGCAGGTGAAGCGAGGAGTGGGGACGCTACAGGCCGAGCATATGCAGAGGGATAGGACTATGGTAGGGAATCCACGGGCGCTGTCAGGCGGCCACGCAGGTCGGGTGCGACGAATCATCTTCAACGGTACATGTTTGTTATTTAGATTTGCATGCATTGTAGCCTTTCATATGCAGGTGCAGATACACACACTCACGTATACGCTTATGCAGACATACATGCAGAGAGAGAGAGAGAGAGAGAGAGAGGGGGGGGCGCCATCATTAATAGATGCTCATATGATTTACATAGCGTATTTCTTTCCCTTCCATTGCCATTACTTTCCCATTACCTATTGCTTGGACATCCGTGAGCCTCCGGCCGGGCAGCAGCGAGCTCCCTTAACTGCCTGCTTGCTTGAGGGCGTCACAGGACAAGGCAATCACTCGGTGGAAATTGCATCTCCACCTAAGTTATCAGAAGCCCAAACTGATCTCGAGCAGCTGTTCGGTGCGCTGGTCAGCTGTGCATACCGTGGCCTCTGCAGCTGTTGCCAGAGCCGCTCGTGTCGCTGGCGTGACCTTCGGAGGCGAAAATGCTCGTCTGAGAGGAGCTCTGTCGGCCCCGTCGCCATCACCACGCCCTCGGGTATATACCTCCCACCTCCGAGGAAGCCCCCCCTTCCCCGAGCGGAGTGCGAGCGCCCCCGACGGAGCTGCCCCTCGCATGCATCAGCCGTTGCCGTGTGGCGTGGCGTGAGTGGCGTCGCATTCTTCTGCATGACATGTGCATGCGTTAAAGCGAGGCGTGCATAGTCTGGAGTGCACGTGACTTCTTGGCCCAGCGCGGCTTCGTTGCACGTGTGTGTGTATCCTTGTCGTAAATGGAATGTGTGCGCGAGTTGCCGGCGAGTTATATACGTGCACACGCATACGTCTGCTTGTGTGAATGCATGTGCGTGCGTCTGAGTGTGTGTGAGTGTGTGGGCACACTGCTTGCATGCATGCCATGTGAGTGTGCACACCCGGCTGCCCGAGCTCAGCGTCTCCCGCCCGTGTGCATTCGTGCGTCCGTGACCTTCGGCCAAAGTCACTGAGGGAGGGTGGCGCAGTTACCTAGCCCTGCGCTCTGGTGGTTGGAGATTGGCGCTGGTGAGCTCTGGCCTCCTGGTCGAGCCTCGGAGGGCCTGGTTGTGGCCCTGTGGTGGTTGTGGCGAGGGCGGCTGCCGCAGGTGGAGGGCGGGGGGGTTATTCAAGGGCTGGAGGCGAGGGGGGCGGGGGTTTGATCCGATGGGCAGAAGGACGATTGGTTGAGATTGGGAGGCTGGCTCTGGGCGCGGACGAGGAGATTGGATCGCTCCCACGGAATGTGCAAATCAGTATTACATAGCGAGCGGAAGCCGACGAGGTGTCCAAATATTTACCTTGTTGACTCAGATTTTATGAAGGAGAGGGAGAGGCAGGAAGACAGACAGACGGCTGACAGACAGACAGTCAGACAGACAGACAGACAGACAGACGGCTGACAGACAGACAGTCAGACAGACAGACAGTCAGACAGGCAGACAGACAGACAGACAGACAGACAGACAGACAGACAGACAGACAGACATAGACAGCAAAGAGAGGCAGCGACAGTCGGCTATGCAGCGCGAGGCCGGGCAGCTGAGAGCAGAGGTGTATAGAAAACAGAAACATGATCTGAAAGGGCGATGAATCAAAGCAAAAAGAAAAGCACTGTAACGCTGTCGCTAAGGGGTTGAAACTGATTATATCTAAATACAGGATTTGATGGTGCCACTGTCGGGACCAGATTTTTTTTTTTTTTTTTTTTTTTGTCCCGCAGAACGCTTGTGTATACAAACGCACAGACATGCACACCTACACGCACGCAAGCACAGACGCAAACAAGGGCACACACACACACACACACACACACACACACACACACACACACACACACACACACACACACACACACACACACACACACACACACAACGTTTGCAATTCACCCCAAAGCCTAAATTGATTGTCTGCCATTATCTAAAGTAGATTTGCTCCCGGTGGGCGCAGTCGTGGCGTCTTGGCAGGCCTTCTCTTCCCTGGTGTGACAGGGAGCCTTCCTCGTCTGCCACAGCGTAGGAAGGGCGCGAGATAGTCGTGGCAGCCGTAGGACTAGGGGCTGCTCATCCTGCCTGCCTGGTGGGGACCTGCGCGATGTTCGGGAGGGGACTCTTTATCGTCT